TGTATTTGTGTCTTCTTAAACTTCTTTCACCAAAGTCTTGTAGTATTCAGTGGACAACTCTTTCACCTCCTTGGTCAAATTTATTCATAAGTATTTCATTTTTTTATGCTATTGTGAATGGCATGGTTTTCTTTATTTACTATTCAGACAGTTCATTGTTAATGTATATGTCTGCAACTGATTTCTGTATGTTGATCTTGTATCTTCCAGCTTTACCATATTCATTGATTTTTAGTAACGTTTTTTGGTGGAGTATATAGAATTTTCTATGTAAAAGATCTTATTATTTGCAAACAAAGACAACGCACTTTTAGATTACAATTTGGAGGGCTTGCATTTCTTTTTTCCAACCTGCATGCTCTAGCTACAAATTCCAGTACTGTGCTAAATAAGACTGGTGTGACTGTGTGCCCTTCTCGTTTCTGACTTTCCAGGAATAGCTTTCAGCCTTGCACCACTGAGCATGATGTAAGATGCAAGCTTGTCAGATATGGCTTTTATTTGTAGGGAGATTTTTAACATGCACAGGTGTCACATTTTGTCAATGCCTTTTCTGCATCAATTAAAAGAACCTTATGATTTTATCTTTCATTCAATTAATATGATGCATCATTTTTACATATTGAACCATCCTTGCATTCCAGAGATAAGTACAAATTGATCCTGTTGTATTATCTTTTTAATGTGCTGTTCAGTGAGGTTTGCTAGTATTTTGTTGACAATGTATGCATGTATATTCATCAAGGATCTTGAATGGAAGTTTTTTTCTTGAATGTTCTTGTCTGGCTTTGGCATCAGGGTAATGCTGGGTTTGAAATACAAGTTTGAGAATGTTCTCTCCTCTTTGATTTTTTGAAGAGTTTTTATTGGCTTTAAATTTTCTTTAAATCTTCGGCAGAATTCACCAGTTAAAGCATTTGGTACTAGGTTTTTCTTGGGAGATTGTTGATTACTGAGTCAATCTCTTGTTATTGGTCTGTTCAGATTTTCTATTCCATCATGATTTAGTCTTGGTAGGTTGTATGTTTCTAGAAATGTTTCCATTTATTCTATGTTATTCAACTTCTTAGCATATAATTGTTTATAGTAGTCTCATGAATTTTTGTACTTCTTTGGTATCAGTTGCAATGTCTCTTCTTTCATTTCTGATTTTATTTGTATCTTCTCTATATTCTCTATTTTACTTTTCACTTCATTCATTGTGTTCTCCAGCTTCAAAATTTCTGTTTGGTTCTTTTTTATGATTTTTATCTCTTTGTTAAACTTATCATCTCTTCATGCATTGTTTTCCTGATCATGTTAAATTGTCTATGTTTTCTTGCTATAGCTCACTGAACTTCCTTTAAAACAGCTATTTGAGCCCTGGCTTATGTGGCTCAGTGGATTGAGCTCTGGCCTGAGAACCAAAGGGTCACAAGTTTGATTCCCAGTCAGGGCACATGCCTGGGTTGCAGGCCAGGTTGGGTCCCCAGTTACAGGGCGTATGAGAGGCAACCACACATTGATGTTTCTCTCCCTCTCCTTCTCCTTCCCTTCCTCTTTCTCTAAAAATAAATAAATAAAATATTTTATTAAAAAACAGCTATTTGAGTTGTTCATGGGTAAATCGCTTATCACATGTCTTCGGGACCAGTCACTGAAAAGCTGATCCTTTGGTGGTGTCATGTTTCCTTGATTGTTCATGTCTGTGAACTTTTGGATTGCTGTCCTCACGTCTGAAGTAACATTCAACTCCTCCAGTCTTTATGAACTGCCTTCATGAGAGACATACCTTCCTTCAGTCCAGCTAGGGATTCTGAAGCTTTCTCAGCCTTTTATGGGTACGCCTGCTCCACACTTCTTGCTTCCACTTGTTGCAGAATTCTTAGGCTTATTGCCTTCCACTGATCTTGTGACACACCAAGCCCAGTGCCCACAACCTCCTTTTTGTTCGCTAAGTGTCTGCAAAAGCTCACTCCTGCTACCATTGTTAGGAGAGCGTATGGGGTACCCACGGGCCACTTGGAAAGACCCACAGGCAAGGCATCTGCTGTCAGTTGTGGGTGGGCTTCTGGTGGAGTATGGTAAACACTTAGTAGGATCTGCATTTTTTAATGTCCTCCAAGGGTCCTACCCCCTCCCCCCAGCCTCTTCTCACTCCTCAATCATACAGTCACAAATTGGTACACTGGTAGGGGAGAAAGAAGGGGCGCTGCACAGCTGGGGAAGCCAGGTGCTCACTCCCCAGCTCTCATTCTCCCCCGTGGGAGAAATCACGAGCTGAAAAGATCTGTCCTAAGCTGTGCCACCTTGCGGGATTCGGATAGAGTCAAACCGTTTCTCTTACCCTCTCCAAGGTGTCCAACTCGCATTTGTTTTGCTCTAACACTATGCTGGAACTTCTCTGCTAGAAACTTGGACTTTTGCAAAGGCTGTCTTATCTGGGAGGGACTGACTAAAATGCTGTTTTCCAGAGGCTTCCAGACTGTGGCCTGGAAGGGCTGGAGCCAGGCAAAAACCACTACAGAGTCCAACGTCCAGGACTGTGGTCTCTGCTATTACCTGACATGAGGTAGGCAGGAGTCCCCCTGGTCTCTATGGTGCTGAGTCCCACAGCTCTTACAAAGGCACTTCTGTACATGGGTGGATGCCGAATTGTTATTTAGGGGGGAACACAAATGAGCGACCTCTTATTTGTCCATGTTGCTGATGTCACCCCAAAAGCCAGGAGTGTCATTTTAATGGAAGTTCCTCCACAAGAAAACAGTGAAATGGAGAATAAATCTCCCTTGCCAAGTTAAGACAAAACGCTGTTGATCTGAAAGCTAAGTGCTAAGACTATATTTTCTTTTAAAGAGCTTTTGTTCCTACTGCAGATTAAACACTTGCCTTTCTTCTCATACAACTGGCCTTTTGTGTCATTTCCTCTTCCAAGTTCCCTCTTTTTCAAATAACCTCCTATGAAGTCCCCTTGCCCCAGTGAACATTCATTTTCCTGGCCTGATACACAGCTGTTATCTTGAAATTTCTGTTTGACATACTTCTATATCCTAGATTACATTTCTTTCCCTTTTTGCTTTACTTCCTCATTTACTAGAACATTATGTTAGATGATTTCCTAAGAAAGGATAAATAAAAGATAACTTTTCTGATCCTTTAAATCTCTGAAATGGTTTGATTGTGTCCTCTTATTTGCAGATGCTTCAGCTGTATATAGAATTCTAGGTTGAGAATCTCTCAGAAACATGAAAGTGTTGCTCCTTTGTCTTCCAGAATTTGGTTTGCAACCTCATTCTTTTATATGTGGCCTATTTGGGGAAGTATTTGTTTGTTTGTTTGGTCTCTAGAAGCTACTGGGATTTTTCTTCACGATTACTCTAAAATTTCATAATTGCCCACTCTTCTTGTTTTCTTTCTCTAAATCTGAAGTTTTAATTAGTTGAATTTAAAAATCTGTATTTGATCCTTGCAGGCTTTTATCTTTTCTCTCATATTTTGTCTCAGTCTTTCTGTTCGGCTTCCTCAGAGATATAACTCTAACTAACAATCCATTTCAGTTCACTTCTGTATGCATGAAGGGAACAGTGTACTAGGGTTAGGATAGGGACATAGGTACCTCTTAAGAGGATAACCAAATATAACAGCAAAAATTTTGGCTTCTCATCTCCAACCTAGAGGCCTGTGCAAATGGCTGCTGACACTCGTGGACAGGATAAGAAAAGCAGACGGATAAGAGAAGGGCCTCGTCTCTCCCTTAGTCGACTAAAAGTAATTCCATTTCAGTCTCATGGTTCACCCCACTCTCAGCTATAACCATTATTTCCAAATCTCCAATCCTTTTAGGGTTCTGCAAGGCTGAGAAAGTCTTCTTGATCATGTCCTATCCGTTTGCACTGTAAGTTGTAGGTTCTGCTACTCTGTCAGACTAATTTCTGTCCTCTTTCAGGTTTCCAAAACTTGTGGAAACCTTTGTTTACCAATGAAGTCTCATATATTTCTGCTTTACAATTTATTCCCTATTTTTTGTTTATAGTCTCAGAAGATTTGGATAAATGAATATTACAATCCAAGATCTTGTGTGGATGTTTTTCCCAATTTATATTTTAACTCAGAAGTTAATTAATTTGTAATAATTGACTGTGATAATTACTTTTATGGCCCACATGTATAGGATATACAGTGCTAGACATGTGATCAAATATTTTTTCTGAGTGTTTCTATGAGAGTGTTTTTTGGTGAGGTGAGCATTTGAATCAAGAGACAATTAAGCAAACTGCTTCCCTAACATGGATGAGCCTTACCCAATCAGTGATGGCTGGAATAAAACAAAAAGGCTGGCCCTCCCCTCAGTAACAGGGAACTTCCCCTGCCTGCATGCTTTCAGTCTGGGACTGCTGCTTTCCTCCTTGCCCACCAGCCTTCTCTAGCCCTGCTCCTACTTCATGGCATCCCGCAAAGAATTCTTACAGTTTCTGCCCTATCCTTAATTACCTTTTTTAAATTATATATTCCAAACAAAAAAGAATTTGGCCTAGTTCATCTTCTCAAATGGAACTACTGGCATTAGGTCAGGAGATGGCTAACTCCTGGCTCGTAGCTGATCCAAACACTGTGGTCGGGATAGCAGGGAGCATGGGCAGGACAAACACTGTGAGGTTTCTAGTACAGAGACACACATGGATGCTCACACACACACACACACACACACACACACATTCACACACCCCTGGGAATCACCTAAGTGTCCCAATAATGGCAGACTGACTAATAAATTACAGCACATCGATGGGGAGGGGAAATATACACAGTATATGGCAACACAGAAACCATTAGTTATGATACATGAAAAAAATCTGGATAGTAGAAGTATAATCATTCTTAATTTTGCTCTTGGTGGCTTCCTATTCTCCCAAATTTCTATAATAAACATAGATTTCTTTCATAATCCAAAAAGATCAATCACTTACTTTGCATAATGCTTTTGTAAATTTTACTTTGTAAATAGGAAACATTTTAGTTACCTTTCCAGTGTCGCATTTTGTGCCTTCATTCACCATCCCAGGATCTGGAACATCTGATCCTAGCTGAAAATCCACGCCCCAGCATTTGGTGCCTCCGCTGGGAGTCTGAATAATAGCAGGCACAATTCCAAACACAGGCATCTCTTGTACATTCTCACACTGAAGCTTCCCACACAAAGCATTCCTATAAAGATTGAAAAAGAATTCAAACATAAAATGCATCTGCTGTAGATGCAAAGAAAAATTATATTTCTATGTGCACAGACAGAAAGTGTTCTGCTATTTAGTGGAAGGGAATCTCAACAGAAAAAGTGTATGAGAGTAACAAAGATCAAAGCATCTCTTTAAATACAGCGGAGAAGAACAGAGACAAATGGATGCTAGGATGCAAATTAGCAGGGTACCAGGTGGTGCCGATGATTCTTTCTTCACACCTAATCCCTCTTCACTATCTGCTAGGGTTCAAAAGTCTAACTAATAGTTTCTTAGAAATATAACTTTATAAATATTACACCCAGAAAATAATAGAACTACATCAAAATTCAATTGTGCCTTCTTAAAGAATTGTGGTAACTAGAGTCTGTAGTGTAAAATAACTAAGAAAGGACTCTGGCATTCTTGGCTTGGTTATCACTTACTTGAAGACTCAATCGTAATTCAATACACCGAAGCTGTGTGAGTTAAATGCCCTTCCTAAAAACTTTAATAACACAGCAAGTACGCCTAACATCAACTTTTATGATGCTGTATTAAAAATTTCCAACTTTCTGATTCAAGCAGCTACCCTATACCTGAATCTCCTCTATGATATCACTGCCATTATAGTCATGATAGGGTACTGTTTTCCAATCTCTCTAACTTGCCACCTCCTAAAAATTCCCTTTCTAGCTTTCATAACTTTCCTTCACTTCTTGAGTTAAACTCTATCTCCCTGTAACTTTCCCTCACTGGTCCCAGATCTTCCACATGACACCACGCAGATAATGTCTTTTCCTTCTTCCCCATGGCGGCTATTTTAGGACACTCATAATGAAGCTCCTAATGACTTACTACACCGGTGCAATAGCCTACACCCACTTCTCATGCAACAGAAAGGTCTTTTCTAAATTATGTTCCAGTTTGTTTTGCTGCCTCTGAAGCACAGAGCTCAAAGTGGAGCATGAATTTCAGTTACAGCCTAACAAACGAAAACAAAATGGTTCTCTCTCATCTCCTTTATTCTATATACCACACTTCCATTAAACCCAAGATTATAGGTGCTTTTGTGGTAACTACATCAATATGTAATACACTCTTAATGCCCTTGAACTTATCACTAGTTAAACCTCTGCAAAAGCTGCTACTAAGTCTCCTCTTTCTTCTGTCCTGCACTCAAAAGTGAGTCATTTTGTCCCAACTTTCATTTATCCTTATGTCACCAGCTATTCACTGGGTAACTTGACTAAGGTGCTTAAATTTTCTAAGCTTCAGTGTCTTCATCCGAAAAATAAGAGATAAATGCTATCTCACGTGGGTAGTTGGAGTTGGACATGAAAAACCTCTAGAGCAAAGCACAGCGGAAGGCAGACCTCAGTCAACCCCTGTTGGAGCCCTCCAAGGTGCATGCTGCTATGACACACCCGGTGTGTCACCTGTAGTCTCGGTGGCACACTGGAGTTTAAAAAGCTATCAGCTGATTTCTCAAAAGAATCTTGCAGGCAAGAAGGGGCTGGAAACAAGTATTCAAAGTCATAAAAGGCAAGGTCCTACACCCAACATTACTCTATTCCAGCAAAGCTATCATTCAGAATAGAAGGGCAGATAAAGTGCTTCCCAGACAAGGCCAAGTTAGAGGAGTTCATCATCACTAAGCGCTTGTTACATGAAATGTTAAAAGTATTTATCTAAGAGAAAGAAGAAAATCAAAACTATGAATAGTTAAATGAAAACAAACATACAACTATCAACAACTGAACCTAAAAAAAAACAAAAACAAAAAAACTAAGCAAACAACTAGAACAGGAACAGAATTGCAGAAGTGGAGATCACATGGAAGGTTAGCAGCAGGGAGGGAGAGGGAGGAGCATGGGGAGAAAGGTACAGGGAAAAAGAAGCATAATTAGTAGGTACAAAGTAGACAGGGGAAGGTTGAGAATAGTACAGGAAATGGAGAAGTGAAAGACCTTGTATGTACGGCCCATGGACATGAACCAAGGGACAAGGGGAATGCTGGAGGGAATGGAGTTGCTGGACAGAGGGGTGTCAAGGGGAGAAAAAAGAATGGGACAACCATAATAGCATAATGAGTAAAATATTCTTTAAAAAAAAGAAAGAAAATACAGTTTACCCTTGAACAACATGGTTTGAACTGCACAGGCCCACGGACACACAGTTTTTTTTCAATGAATACTACAAACATATTTTCTTTTCCTTATGATTTTCTTAGTGATATATTCTTTTCTCTAGCTAGCTTCTGTATTGTATGAACACACATACATAATGAATATTAAATACAAAATATGTGTTAATCAATTGTTTATGTTATCAGTAAGGTTTCCAGTCAACAGTAAGCTACTAGTAGTTAAGTTTGAGGGAAGTCACAAACTTCTGACTATGTGGGGGGTCAGTGCCCCAAATCCCCATGCTGTTCAAGGATCAACTGAACTCTTAACACATATAAAGCTGTTACATATCAATAAGAAAACTATAGCTGCTTCAACAGAAAAAAATAGCAAAAGTGCATGGAAATAGGCTATTCACAAAATAAGAATATAAACAACCAACAAAGCTAAGAGTTGCTCATTGTTACATTCATAAAAGATATTCTATTGCAAGTCTCAGTAGAATAATGACGTCAGGCAAGGATCATCAGTGCAGGTAAAACCATCAAGTAAAACCCCAGTGGGGAGCTGAGTATTCATGCGGTACAACATCATCACCCCACGTACTACCGCAGAGTTGCAATGAGAAAAACATAACTACAAGTTCTGGTCATTGCCACTTAGTAACTCTGTTAATAAAACAGACCAGAATTATTTGTCTTCTTGATATAAAGCACAACTTAGGGGTAGTCTTCCCCCAGTATTTCACCTAAATCTAATTAATAACTTAGATTTAACTTCAGATTCATAAAAAAATCAGGGGGTAGAGACACAAGTTAAGCAACAATGAGAAGCACTGAACAAAACCAGAATGACTGGCCCAGTCATCTCCTCAGTGAAGAATAATATTTTAGATGAAAAGTGACTTAAGTGACATGTCAAATAACTGCAATGTGTGATCCTTAACTAAGTCCTGATACGAGAAAAAATAGCAAAGAAAGGCAATTTGAGGACAACTGGAAAGATGTTAATATTGACCAGGTAGTACTCAATACTAGAAAACTGTTCATATTCTTAGGTACGATAATAGTGTTGTTGTCAATGGCCTTTTATGATAAAGATGAAAACTGAGGAATTTAGGAGCAAAATATCTTAATGTCTGTAGTTCACCTGCAAATGGTTCAGCAAAGTCTACACAAAGTAAATATGATAAAGTATTAACGATGTTTTAACCTAGGATATATGGATTTTCATCATACTATTTCTACTCCTCCGTATATTTGAAAATTTTCATTTACGAAGTTTAACAGGATGGCGCCGCCTATGTACTGAAGGAGGAGACAACTCTCAGTGAAACAGGACAAAACATGCAGAACGACGTCTCAGTGAGCAGAGCAAAGGGCGGAAATGGGGTGGGGACAAGGTTACGTTTGTGCTTAAAGAAACTCGGCAAAGGCACTCGTGAAGCTAAAAGCAATAGGTACAGGGAGGGAGGGTAAGAACAGGGGAAAAGAGTATAGGAGTGGAAGCCACATTTTCTCTATAGCCCTTTAAACATTTTTTGAATACCCAACAATAAAGATAAATAATTATTCACAAATTCAGTTAAAACAAAGATGAAATACCTAGTTAATATAACAAATTGAAAAAGTAGTCTTTTAAGATAATACTCTGGCACTGGTGAGAGGCATTGGTCATATAAATCAGTTAAACATTTTGAAGGTCAATTTACAAGTATCTATAAAGACCCTTAAAATTATTGTCCATATTCTTTGACTACGAAAAGTCTCTGGAAACATTCAGAGAAATAAACAAATATCTAAACTGATTTTAACATGGCCTTATTTAAAATAGCAAATTACTAGAAAAACCATAAATTTCTAACATAAGGAAATGGTTAAAAGAAGCTGGGTGCATACCATAAATGCTCTTAATAAAGTGGAAAGTGAATACATCAATTTATAAAACAGTATTAGTCATAATATACAATTTTGTTTATATGGATATATGTGTGTCTGAGTACACATATGTGTATATATGTATGATGAACACAGGAGAATGACATTCAACAAAAATTTAACAAAGCATTGCTGAATAACAAGACCACAATGTCATCACTTTCTTTACACTATTCTAGATTTTATACATTTTCTATGATGATGATTATAGAGATGATGATGATGATGATGATGATGAATCCAACAACAAACTCAGTGCTAACTTCCATCAACTCATTCAGTCTTCCAAATGACACTGAGAAATAGGTATCATTATTATTCCCACTTTACAGAAGTGAAAAATGAGGTAAACAAATAAAACAACTTGTCCAAGTCTCAGATATCCTCAGTGGTTAAAGCAGAATTCAAATGTAAAGAGTCCAACTTCAGATGCGTATTCCTAACAACTATATTATCTTTATTATATATCCTTATTAAACTATTATAAAATGTTTTTCAAATCAGCTACCCCGTACTTAATAAGTTTCATATGTGTAATTTCTATATTTTCATCAGGATATTCATAAAACCATGGAAATATAACCAGACTGGAGAGAAGGATAATGAATGTCCAGCAAACTCTAAGTCTGCGTTCATCCACTTATGCCAAGGTTTTAGCTCAGTTCATTCAAACTAATTCTCCACCCATCAGCTAGTTTGAATATAAAATATTCCCATGGTAATTATACTATAAACTTATTAAGAATAATAGTTTGACTTACCCCAGAAAAACAGTGCTGTACAAATGCAAGAGAATTTATATCTATAACTACTTTTGAGACTATATACAAGATGTATTTAAAATTAGTATGTTCATAACCCCTTTTGAAATTCTTTCTTGTTTTTTAACTGCCTTCAACCTAATGTTTTAGGTTTCAAGAAAGGTACTAAGAACACCTACAAGAGGAATATCTGAGAAAGTGTTCCTTAGGGAGGTCATACTGGAACTGAGATCAGCAGGGCAGAGCGAGCAGGCCGGGCAGAAGGAACAGCACATGGCAAGGCCCTGTGGCAGAAGGTAGGCCAGTACGGCCAAAGCATTTCATAGCACTTAATGGATGCGTACAGAAAGGTGATCCTACAAATAAACACATTAAAGGAGCATCCAGAAACTCGTAAAAAATACTAGAAGAACATTCTACACAAAAGCCAAGGAAAAAGGTTTCTCCAAGGAGAAACTGGTCAATACAGTTGAATGCCCTAGATAAGTCAAGTAGACCTAAAAACCTCTGCTGGATTTAATGATACGAAGGTCGCTGTTGTTATTTCTTCTTAGTAAGTGTTGCTTCACTACTGCAGCTTAGCTTAACCGGCAGAGTAGGAGATGGAGTGAGAAGACATACACAGCATTATAAAGTCATTCCAATTATGCGACAGTGTGCGCATGTACAGTGTACAGAAACAAAAAAAGGAAAGATACACACTGCAATTCACAAATGACATAGTTTGAGATTATTGATGACTTTTTTCTCACCTGCAATTTTTGATATTATTAATTTTTATACAAGCAAATGTAGAAAAAGGGTTTTATAGGGGTGAGCAATGGGAGAAAAGGCAGAACGACTATAATTGAACAATTAAAAATTTTTGTTAAAGAAAAAGGGTTTTAATTTGTCACTTTTATATAGAGCTAGAAGAAAATAACAAAATACAAAATTCTGTACCTTTATAGATTTAGCAGCATAACCTTTTAATGAAAGGAAGAAAGAGGAAGAAGAATGTTTATTTGGGGTTCTCACTGTAGAACACAGATAAACAAACTAAGATTCTAAAAATCATTGGCTTTAGGTAGGCAATGTCAAAAGGGATGACTTCTTTTACCAGTTCAGTTCAGAGTCTCTCGGAAACCTTGTGTTGCAACATTGTAAGCCTGAAAAGTGAGGTATTCAAGGGGAGAAATTGGTAGTCACAAGGAGTTATAAAAGACGACTGGTCTTGTAATCTTTCTAATTGCTTCAGAATCTCTGCAGCACTTACCCAGTGGCGCACTTCTTGTATTCATTGCCAGAGAAGCCACAATTTCCAAATCTGTCACCTTTAGAATTCACATCAATGAAGCAATCTTTGGGCGCAGCCTTGGCTTCTGTAACATTAAAAAAGTTTCTTTTTAAATAATGTGATGGCAAATTTAACTCAGAAATAAAAGTCTTATCTATGAGAGTCCACACACCTGGATGAACTGCCTCAATGCCTTTGCAAACGTTACAGGCCTTACAGATAAAACACTTTTTTTTTAGACTTTATTTAGTTTTAGACAGAGAGGAAGGGGGGGAGGAAAAGAAAGGGAAGCATTAATGTGTGGTTCCCTCTTGTGCGCCCCCTACTGGGACGCTGGCCCACAACCCGGCCATGTGCCCTGATCTGGGCACAGAACCCATGACCCTTTGGTTCACAGGCGGGTGCTCAATTTGCTGAGCCACACCAACCAGGACAGATCAAACATTTTTTGTTCCACATTTTATACTTGACAACCAATTATAAAAGTAAAGTTTAGATTGCACTTAAAAGTTAGCCTAAACAAGGTGCCATTAAATAAGATGAAACGATAGATAAATTAAAACCCATACACAGTATGGGCAGCATTTTCAGCATAGTCATTCTCACTATTCTCGAACATGCATCTACTGCAGTCTGGATAAATCAGGTAGGGAACGGTTCATGAAAATATTGCCAACTCTTATTATTTGTTTTTTTTAATTTACCCTATATGGAGGCTTAATTCAGGTATTCCTAGTAGTGACAAGCCATCCCTAGCCATGGCAACTGATAAAGTATCAAACCATTCTTCTTCCTTCTATTTTATGTATGTATCATTTAATGTTCAGTTTTTTCCACTTAATTACACATTTCTAAAAATATTTAACTTATAAATATTTTAAGCCAAAATGCGAGTACTTTCTATTTAACACACAAAATTCACTTGTTTGTCTTATACATCTAATGCTATGTGATTTAGTTTAAAAGAACATGGATACGAGTGAAAGGACTTGGACCAAAAATGAGGCAGAGGATCAAGTAATACGAACACTGAATGCAGAACACTTACATGTGAGGTCATATGGCAATATCCCTAGCAAAGCTCTTCTACAGAATGGAAACAGCTATAAAAACTTCAGATAATCTCCAAAGATAAAAATCGCTACCGTTCTTTCAGTCCTAGATATTTTTTTTGCAGGCCTCTGTAAGATCTTTGCTAAATAACAGTATTTACTCCAGTAAGATGACCTTCTAAAATTACTTTTTCTAGTCTGGAAGAACCTGCCTATTTCCACAAAATACGTGTATCAGAAGTTGACAGATCTCTGCCACTCTTGTCCCACAGCCTGACTGATAGAAATAAGTCACATTTAATTCTTCAACAGTCTGCTGTCCTCCTGTTTAGGAGTACCACAGAAATGAAAGAGAACGGAAGTCTGGTCAAAATCCACAACTCTAGCTTCAAAGAAATAAATTCGGCATTTTTTTAAATCTTCACCTGAGGATATGTTTTATTGATTTTAGAGAGAGAAGAAGAGAGAGAAACATTGATCAATTACCTCTCATTCACACCCCGACACCCCAACCTGAGATCAAACCCAGAAATCAAATCCACTTCAACCAGCTGAGCCATCTGGCCAGGGCATAAACCCAACATTTTTGGCAAACACCCAATGACTGTATGAGATTGGCTGATTGCCCCTGGTATCACCAGACAAGGTAGGGGGTAAAAGGATAAGCTCAGGTATTCAAATTCCCAGCTTAATCACTGTATAAATAACCTGAAAGCTCTGTGTGACCTGGAAAAGACCCTTAATATCTCCTGTAGTGACAGACCTGAGGTGGCTAAAAATCAAACCCAGAATCTCGTTCTCCAACTGGCTGAATTACAACCCAAGATGAACTCCCAGCCTCAAAGGGTATCTGTCATTAGGTTGAAGGCAGTGGTTGCGAAAGAATGAGACTCTGAAAGTTGAATGGAAATGCATGGGGAGATCCTGATGAAGCTGGGGACACTGAGCCCCTAAATTCTAAAGAGTTGCCTTTGTCAAGGAAGCAGACTCCCCACCCTCATCTAGAGGGATTAAGCATGTACTGCTTGAGGAAATTATGGGGGCATCCCTGAGGAAGTCACCATGCAAGACAATAGTCAGGACCCCCTACCACTCCTCATTGCTTCTACACCTCTAGTCAGACTCAAGTCTCAGCAACCCCCTAAAGGTGACGTGACCCATAAGAAGGTATGCTACACACCAATCAAATTATTTGGGTTTTCAAATTTATACACATAGAAATATGGGCAACATGTGGGAAAATGAATATTAAAGGTATGGGATAATGGTTAAAAAACAAAGTTTAATCAGGTCAAATTTATTGACATGGGCAGAGATTCTGCATTTAATGTTGCAGCAAGAAGAGCTAGGGCTGTAACAGTTTATGAGGTTGGCTGGCTGAAACATGAACCAAAAGGCGGCCCACAGTGAGTGAGCTAGAAATGCTGGACCTGCCTTGGCTTAATATAGAAAAACAGATCCATGAATTTACAGAGCTTGTAATGCTACTGTAGGTTTCCCATTTAAAACCTACTTACTCTGGGAGGGTCCAGAAGACACACCTTTCACCGTGATGAGAAATAAATTGTGAGGGAAGCCCCAGCACACCTGAATAATTCTGTGATCACTCTTCTCTGCAGGCCACTTTACACTGGGACCTACAGGCACTGAACTGGGAAACCTAAATGCAATGGAAGTACCTGGACCCCCAGCGGCAGAGCCCAGTGCAAGGGCACTCGACTGCAAACACACGGTGGACGTGTTGACCATAACAGAGAGCAAAGTCAAAGTCTGACTTGCACAGACCTAAAGCACTGGTTAATCACGATGTTCCAAGAAGTGAAAAAATTGGGAGCCTACTAGTAAATTCTTACTAGATCTGTAGAAGCAGAGAAGTTCTAGGTCAAGTGAACAGAAGTCCAACCTGAATTAAATGAACTGAGTCAGGAGCCGTCAACAAATTCCCAGATTTGAGTCACATTACACACCCCAAACCCCTTAATTGAAAGAGCACCCTAGTACACTGGCAAAAACTTATACTGTCGATCTTCCTCTTATTCTACCCCAACGAGATTTAGGGCCTTTCCCCAGCATAACTGTGCACTGTGGAAAAGGAAATAACCAGACGGTCAGGCACTACTAGACACTGGCTCTGAATGGACACTAATTCCAGGAGCCTCACACAGCATGGCAATCTACCTGTCAGAGTAGCTGGAAGTAAATGACCAATGGAGTTTTATCTCAGGTCTGCCTCACCCCCAGCCCAGTGTGTCTCCAAACCCATCCCATGGCTGTTTCCCCAGTTCTAGAATGGATCACTGGAATAGACATAATAGCAGCTGGCGGAATTCCCACACTGGTTCCCTGACCTGTAGAGTGAGGGCTATTATGACAGGAAGGGCCAAGTGGAAGCCAATGGAACTGTCTCTACAGAGGAAAAGAGTAAATTGGGGTATCGCAATCCTGGGAAGACTGCAGAGATGATTACCACCATCAAGGGCAAGAAAGCTTCCAGGGTGCCGACTCCCAACACATTCCAATTTAACTCACTTCCTGGGCCTGAGCAAAAGGCAAGTGGATCTTACAAAATGATGGTGGATTATAAGCTTTGCCAGTGGTGACTGTAATGACACCTCCTATGCCAATTTTGGTTTCACTGTTTGAGCAACTTAATACATCTTCTGGTATATGGTATGCAGCTATTCAATCAACATATGCTTTTTTTCCCCTATGCCGGTCAGTAAGGACCACCAGAAGCAGTCTGCTTCCAGCTAGAAGGCCAATACTGATACGCCTTCCCTGTCCTCTCTTAGGGGGACAGCAACTCTCCAGCCCCATATCATAGTTTAATTTCCAGGGATTTTAATCACCTTTCCCTTCTACAAGATTTCACAAGAAAGCTCTTTACAGGCAAACCACAAGATGTTGGTACCCCACGTGAACGCTCACTATGAAGTGACCTCAGCAGGGCAGAATTTTAATAATCGAGTGGGTAGGGTAATTATCCTACCTGTTCTATGGATACCACTCAACCTCCTTCCACGGTCATCCCTGTCATCCCCCAATGGGGTCATGAGCAATGGGCCACAGTGACACTGACGGAGACTATGAACAGGCTCAGCAGCGTGGATTTGTACTCATCAAAGCCAACCCAGCTACAGCCACTGCTGAGCATCCAATCTGCCAGCAGCAGAGTCGTCCATATGTGCCATTCCTCTGGGGATCAGCCAGCTACCCAGTGGAAGGGTTATTAAATGGGACCCTTTCCATCATGGCAGGAGGCTTCGTTCTTACTGGAATAAAAACTTACTCTGGACAAGAAGTGCTCTCCATGCATGCAGCATTTTTGCCAAAACTACGCTCCATGACTGATAAAATGCCTTATCCACCATCACGGTACTGCACACAGATTTGCTTCTCACTGAAGAACTCACTTCACAGCAAATTAAGCATGACAATGAGCCCTTGTTCATGGAATTCACTGGTCTTACCACATTCCCCACCACCTTGATGTAGCTGGTTTGATGGGATGGTGGCACAGCCTTTTGAAGACTCAGTTACAGGGCCAGCTGGGCGGGAACAGGTTGCAAGAAGGGGCAAGGTTCTTCAGAAGGCTGTATATGCTCTGAATCAGCATCCAGTACATGGTTGTTTCTCCCGTAGCCAGGATTCATGGGTCCAGGAATCAATGGGTGGAAGTGAGAGTGGAACCACTTATGATTTCTCCTATTGACCTACTGGCAAAATTTTTGCTTCCAGTTCCCAGGACCTTTGCACTGTGCTAGCCTGGAAGTCTTAGTTCCAAAGGGAAGAGCTTCCGACAGGAGACACAACAATGACTGCACTGAACTGGAAGTTAAGTCTGCTACCCAGCCACTTCGGAATCCTCATGCCTCTAAATGAACGGGCAAAGAAGAGAGTCCCTGGCCGGGGAGATTGATCCTGACTACCAAGGGGAACCTGGCCTACTGCTCCACAATGAGGGGAAGAAAGAGTACAATGAACATAGGAGATCCTTCAGGGTGTGTTTAGTATTGCCAGGCTCTGTCACTAAGGTCAATGGAAAACCACAACAACCCTACCCATGTAGTACCACTAATGGCCATAGCCTTCGGGAATGGAGGTATGGGTCACCCCACCAGGTAAAGAACATGACCAGCTGGGACATATGGACTGGTAATGAAGAAAGCTGGTAAAAATGCCAGCTATGATTACATGACCAGTTATAGAAATGAGGACATTAATGTCATGAATATTCTTTTTTGTTATAATAAATATATTTGTTAATATATATAAAATATCCTTGTTTTCTTTCCCCTCTTAGTCCCTTCTCGTGTAACATGAGATGCATTGACTTTATATAATATAAGTATTGTTAATTTTCCATTCTAGCACTTAAGTTAGGGGTTATTGAGAAGAATAAACATCACTCAAGGACTTTACTTCTTCCTCTAAGAAAAGGTATAGTGCATCCCCAGTTAAGTAGAAGTATGACCTTGTTATTTTCTCCTTTTGGAGATTACATATGGCAGAATGAGATACATAAGGGCGTCAGGTTGACAAGGGGCGGACTCGTGGCCATTAATCTTACATGCCTACTTGACCAGGCCACAGCATGCCCAGATATTTGGTCAAACATTATTCTACATTATTCTGTAATAGTGTTGGTGGATGAGATTAATATTTAAATGGCATATCAAGTAAAGCAGATCATCCTCCCCAGTGTGTGTGAGCCTCATCCACTCAGCTGAAAGTCTACAAGGAACAAAAAAGCTAACTTTCCCTGAGTATGAAGGAATTCTTCCTGAGGACCTTCAGACTGGGACATCGGCTTCCTCCTCACCTTCAGCCCTGAACTGAATCATCCAGTCTTCCCGGCTCTCAGGCCTGCCCACCTTTGTCCTAGAACTAAACCATTCGCTCTTCTGTCTCTACAGCTTGCCTACTTACCCTGCAGGTCTGGAATCTACCAGTGTCCATGACTATGTGAGCCAATTCCTTACAACAAACCGTGTGTGTGTGTGTGTGTGTGTCTGTCTGTGTGTGTGTGTCTGTGTCTGTGTGTCTGTGTGTGTCTGTGTGTCTGTGTATCTTCCCATTGGTTCTGTTTCTCTGAAAACAGACACAAAAAATCAAGACTAAGGAGAATCAGGGGCCTCCAAGCCAGACTTCTTCAGACGAGGTGAAATTAGCAGAATACTGATGCTTCTAATCACCTCAAGGAAGACAAGGCCACTGGTGAACAGTCTGCAGTTCGATTACTAATAAGGATACAAAAAACTAACCAAACCCAGAGAGAGAGAGGGAGTAAAAATTATTAACTCCAAAAAAATAAAAATAAAAGGCAAGAAAGCAATTGCAGCTTACTACATAGCTCAGCTGGGAATAGCATTAATAGGATTATTACAAAGTACTCAGGTGTACTGTGTGTATATTTTTTCACAAAACCAAGCAATTCTCTGACAATTCTACTCAATTGTGATAGTACAGATTAAAAGGCTCAGTCACATCTCAAGACCGTCCTCCCCACTGCTCTGTCCCCACCTCAGGCACCAAATGCAAGCCCAGATTGCTACCTGTGTTTCGGACCAGCAAGCTCTAGACCAGAGGTTTCCGCAATCCCTTCCTCGGTTTCATTTGCTACAGTGGCTCACAGAACTCAGATAATCTTTTTGCTTACTAGGTTATTAGATTGTTATGAAAGGATGTAACTCAGGAACAGCCAGATGGAAGAGATGCACAGGGCAGTATGGGAAAAGGGCCCGCCACAAATGCGACACTCAGTCTGCATACCCACATGTTCACCGAGCCAGAAGCTCTCCAAACCCTATCATCTGGGGATTTTATGGAGGCTTCAGGACACACATTAAATCACTGGCCAACTGTGATAAACTCGATCGCCAGTCCCTCTCCCTTTCCAACCCTCTAATCACATGGTTGGTTGCCCAGGAAACCAGCCCCCTTTAGTTAGGTGGTACCTTCTACAAGTCACCTCATTCCATAAACAAAAGTCACTTGTATGGCTCCCATCACATCACTTAGAAAATTCCAAGAGTTTCAGAAGCCCCCTGCCAGAAAATACATGAAGACTGAACATATATTTCTTACTATAAATCAAAATACCACAACAATTGTCACTGCCATAACTAAAGTTGTAACTAATTCACATTAAAAAAATGAAGAATAAAAAATGAGCATCAATGTGATAAGAGTTGGCAAGACTTAGAAGAGAAGAAACTGAGTTATCTTCCATGACGAAAAATTAATATTTAAGTCCTAGCATGGAAAAATGTCAAAAATAGCATTATCAAGTGATCATCTAAAGAGCTGGATTGAGCAAGTAAAAAATATAATTGGCTAGATATGGTAAAGTGGTTGGCTTAAGAGATAGAGATATTATTACATACAAGTCTGCTTTATTGTTTTCATAAAACCTTGTAAATAATATGGACCTTTATGTGTAAATATAACTTAAATAAAAATAAACACTTTAAGAAGAGAATTAGAAAAAATTTAAAACATCCTAAATACCTATCAGTAAGAGAACAGATTATATTTATATCATAGAATATTTTAATGCACAATGATCTAAATTTATCAATAAAATGGATTTATTAAAACTAAAATATACACATATACACATGCATGTACTGTTTATATGCATAGACTAGAGAGGTGATAGAGAGTAACAACGAAATTGCCAACTGAATTTGGGCACATCAAATTCATGACCATGATCATCCATAAAGAAGGAAGGAAGTATGATAGGAGAGAGGAAACAAAAATAGTTCAATTTAGCAATAATTTCTTATTACCACTTTTAACATAAACTAAAAAATAAATAAATAAAACCCAAACAGTCAATTATGAATAAAATAGCTTACTTGAGCCAAAGATGACTTGACACTGAGCATCGTAATACTGGCACATGCCGTTGTAACAATAGGCTTTGTTATTCTGGCAAGGATATCCATTCTGAATGAAAACATCTGGCTGGCAGAACTGAGAAGACCCATTGCAATATTCTGGAACATCACATTCATTGGATCTTCCTCGACATAAAGTACCTCCAGGAAGAAACTAAGGTAACAAGATTCAAATGAAATAGGAGTATCAGGACAATTCCCACAAATTAATCAGATTAGAAACCACAATATCTATATCTATAAAATTTCTAACAACAAAAAATTAAATATCCCAATATTTAATGAACAGATGAATCGAGGCCAATGAATAGAAGCCAATAATAGGCAATTCATAAAAGTTACAAAATACAGAAAATGAAAAAATATTCATTTTGATTGCCTTATTGGCAATCAAAAGAAAAGCAAATTAAACAAATATATAAAAGCACATTAAACTAATCTATCAAACTAGCCAGGATCATAATGCTTGCTAGCAACTAATGTTAACATTAGTTGATAAGCATATTATTACACTCGTGGGTACAGAATGGCACACTGTGGAAAGTATGTAAAATGCGTGTCAAAAACTATTAACACTCATGCTCTGCCCCAACAATTCTAGTCATGAACAAAAACTGGAAGCAATCTCAATGACCATCATTAATTGACTAAGAAATCACAGTATAGCCACACAAAGAAGTACTAACTACACAATCACGTAGAATTACATAAATGGGAGAAAGTCCATCGTATCTTATTAAAAATACAAATAGGAAAAATACATATCTGTGTCTACCCATTTACCCCTACACGCGTGCGCGCGCACACACACACACACTCACGATCACACTTATACAGGAAAAAGTAACTACATCAATAGTATTTTATCAACAATTGCTATGGTTAAAATGACAGTCTATCACTATCTGCTTTCTATACTTTGGTACTGTTGAATTTTTTAAAAACACAGATTATTCTTAAAATCCGAAAAAATTTAGGAAATCTCATTAGACTATTTGTCATAAAAGAATGTGACGCAAAACTACAAACAAGCAGTATAAAATTCCTCGTGTGAGTAATCCTGTAACAAAAACAGTGCTCTCTTAGAGATCAGAGAACACTAATTCAAATATATACACATTTTTCCTTTTTCTATTTTGGCTCAAAACAGGAAGGAATTTCTTACCCGACAGTCTTTGCAACAGTCGCCATACGCACAGTCAGCAGATGATTTGAGCTTACAAGTAGTTCCTTCACAACAAGGGTCCAATTCACATTCCTGGGAAGAGAAAAGGACTGTCAGTAAAGAAAGGACGTATTGTCGTCAATATTCATTAATAAAATTCTTATCTTAGACCCCAAATCTATTCTTTCTAACCTGGTTGTAACAGTTAGTCTCTGGAAACAGTCACTATCCTTCTGGGTTTGTCAGCGACTCTTTAGCTACAACTGTTGAGGTCTCAACATAAATCAAAGGACTGAAATCAGAGAGTATGTGTCTTTGCCTCCTGGAACTGCCAGAACGAGACGACAGCTCGAGCAAAAGAAAGTCATGACGTCACAGTTCTGGAGGCTAGAAATCCAGGATCAAAGTTCCGGCCAATTCAGTTTCTGGTGAGGACACTCTGCCTGACTTACAGACAGCTGCCTTCTTTCTGTGCTCTTAAAAGGCCTTTCTTCAGTGTGTGTTCAGAGAGACAGAGCAAGTGAGCTTTCCAGAATCTCTTCTTACAATGACACCAGTCCTATCACATCAAGCAAGGCCCTGCCCCTACGACTTCATTTAACCTTAATTACCTCCCTGAAATCCCCATTCCACCCATAACAGTATATTTAACGATCACTGGAAATTAAACACCTATGAATGCATTTCTCTTCATGCTCAGGGTCTGACTTCTCTGCTCAGTGGATCTTCACCCTCTGTGGATATTCTGAACCTTTCTTGGCTTCTCCTGCCCCACTTTAGGCCACCACAGCACCCCACCCCACAACCCCCTACCCCCCCCCACACCTACTCTCCTATGTTCCAACTAATGTCCTCATGTCTGAATTGGTGGGAAAGGAAGGAAAAATGGAAAAAGGAGAGACGATAAGGGAAAGGATGAGAAGAAGAGGAAAAGAAGGAAAAACAGCTTTCCTATTTCTTACTAAAATAAGATGTGACCTTTGGGGAAAACTGGGTTTATAATTACTTCATAACAAAAATTTAAAAATAAATGAACTATAACCTATACCTTGCACCATACAAAAATATTAAACCAAATGGATCATAGACCTAAATGTAAAAGTTAAAACTGTGAAGCTTCTAGAAGAAAACATTTGCAACCTTGAATTAGGCAGAGATTTCTTAAATATGACACCAATAAAGCACAAATTGATAATATAGGCTTCATCAAAATATAAAACTTCTCCAAAGATACTGTTAAGGTAATTAAAAGACAAGCTATAGACTGGGAAAATACATTTACAAATCATGTATCTGAGAAAGGACTTGTACCCAGAATGTAAGTACTGTTCAAATTCAGTTATAAGAAAACCACCCAATTTTTTAAATGGCAAAGAGTTTAACTGACATGTCATCAGAAGAGACATAACAGTTGACAAATAAGCACATGAAAACATGCTCAAAATCACCATCATTAGCCAAATTCAAAGTAAAACCTCAGGGAGGCACCACTTCACATCTACCAGCACAGCTATCACCAAAAAGACGGACCCTAGGAAGTCGTTGTGGCGAGGATGTGAGAGAACCAGAACTCTCACACACAGAGAGTGGGGATGCAGAATGCAGCCACTCTGGAAAATAGTTTGAAAGTTCCACATGACATAGTCATTTCACTTAAGGTATTTACCCAAGAGAAATGAAAACATGAGCTCATATAAAAACTTGTAGGTGAATGTTCAAACAGCTTTATATGTAACAGCAAAAAAACTGAAAACAGCCCAAATATACATCAAGAGATAATTAACAAACTGAGGTGTATCCATACTACTCAGTGATAAACAGCACTAAAAATGAATGAACTACTGACACAGTAGCAACATGAATGAATCTCAAAATAACTATGCTTAATATATGAAGCTAGACAAAAGAGATATTCCAATTACATGAAACTCCAGGAAGTGCGCGCTAATGTGTAATGATAGAAAACAGACCAGTGGTTGTCTGAGGAGAACGGGGGAGCACAAAGGGGTGGGAAGAAGAGATTACCAAGGGTTCAAAGAACTTTCTGGGACGATACGTTCACTATCTTGATAGTGCTGATAGTCTCACATATGTGTATAATGTGTTAAAGATCATCAACTTGTGTACTTTAAACATGTACAGTTTAATGTTGATCAAGTCCTCAACTGCCAATTTCTTACCCTTTGCTTTGTCCTGACCAAATTTCAGTAAGGCTTCTTTCTTTCATTTAGGTCCCTGAATTCTGCTTGTCCCCCATGCCCCACACACAAAAAGTAAAAAGTGTTCCCCTTGTCAGCTTCTTCCGGAAGTCATCTGACCACAGCCAAATACTTTCCTCTTGGTGCTCGCTGGTTATTTCCTCCTGCTTCTCAGCTCCCCGCTCCAACTTTCTGCTTATCTCTGCTCACCCTACCTTTACCCTATTAAAGAAAAAACTTTTCCCCTTTGATTCTGAGACACTTCCAGACTGCTGAGATCAGAGTGGTCTCCCTGTTACCACAGTTTTTCTTCTGAATAAGGCCTTTCCTTATCTAAATCCTAATTCAGTGTTTTGACACCATATCCAATTATACTTAAGCTGTTAAGTTTTTTTTCAAAAACACTTCGAAACAGACAGATGACTTCATAAAGAATAGAGAATCACAAAATAGACTGTGTACACAGGAATTCTGATTATGTTAAAAGTGCCATTTTAAATGGTTTTGCAACAACTGACTATTGGTGGAGAGAAGTTAATTTCCTAGCTCAGTCTACATGATCCCCTCAATTAAAGAGCTAATATAAAAAATTTAATGAAAAAATGCTAGAAATTATAGAGGCTGTAATGATAATCTTGAAAGAAGCATACTACAAATCTGGTCAAAATACAAAACTCAGAAAGTCTTCAGAAATATAATTGATAAGTTCGTCTTCATTTAAATTTTAAATTTCAGTTTAATAAAAATACCCCAGGTGAAACGCTGAATGACAAGAGTAAACCCCAAGATAAACGACAGGCTCTGGGTGATAATAATGTGCCCAGGTGGAGCCATTGTAACTGCTGGGCTGCAGGGTGCGGACAATGGGGACACTGTGCATGTGTGGGCAGGGGCAGCACGCAGGAACTCTCGGTACTTTCCATTCAAGTTTGCTTTGACCCTGAAACTGCTCTGAGAGATAAAGTTGGTTAATTTTTTAAAGCTAAATGGTAAGCTACAGGCAGAGAGGAAACATTCAACATATGACCAGATTCAACATTAGAACATATTCAACAAAGGACTTTGCACCTAATACATGAGTTTCTAAAAATAGATTTAAAATAATTCACATCCCGCCCTGGCTAGTGTAACTCAGTGGATTGAGCATGGGCCTGTGAAGCAAAGGGTCGCTGGTTCGATTCCCAGTCAGGGCACATGCCTGGGTTGCAGGTCAGGTCCCCAGGAGAGGACACGTGAGAGGCAACCACACATTGATGTTTCTCTCCCCCTCTTTCTCCTTCCCCTCCCCTCTCTCTAAATATAAATAAATAAATAAATCTAAAAAAAAAACAATTAACATCCCGGACCAGTGTGGCTCAGTTGGTTGGGCCATCATCCCAAAAAGCAAAAGGTCTCTAGCTCAATTCCCAGTTAGAGTACCTGCCTGCATTGTGGGCCAGGTCCCCCACTGGGATGAGTGCATGGGAGAGGCAACAGATGGATGCTTCTCTCCCTCTCTTTCTTCCCCTCTTCCCCTCTAAAAATAAATAAAATCCGAAAAAAAAATTGCTTTCTCTTCTCTAAAAAGAAAAAAGGGAATCAACAACCCAACATAAAAACTGATGAGGGATATAAAAACAATAATTCATAGAAGAAAATTATGCACATGGCCTAGAAGCATATGAAAAGTAATAAAGACTAAATGAGCCCTGGCTGGTATAGTTCAGTGGATTGAGCACAGGCCTGCAAAGCAAAGGGTCACAGATTCAATTCCCAGTGAGGGTGCATGCCTGGGTTGCCGGCCAGCTCCCTAGTAGGGGGCATGCAAGAGGCAACCACACTTGACCTCTCTCCTTCCCTTCCCCTCTCTCTAAAAATAAAATAAATAAAAACTTTTTAAAAATACTAAATGAAACCTTAAACAAGCATAATCAGTCAGGAGAGTATATGAGAGGAGCTAGGGCTTATGGCAATTCTCACACTCTACATAATCCCGAGAGCCCTACAGGAAGAACTCCATGTCTGTAATAAAGCTCTATGATTCTAACTTCCTTTTCCCTTCTACACATGTCCTTCATCATGGCATGCCGGCCAGAGTGTGCATGTGGCTGGCCATGTCTGCACAGACTGGGTTACGACCCCTTATTTTTCCCAAAATAAATCCTTTTTGGTGATGAAACACCTATTTGATATTATTTTTCAGTTAATAAAAGATATCAAATAAAACAATATTTTCTTATTTTTAGCCATTAAAATTAAGAAAACATTCATTATCCTCTGCTAGTAACTATAGTGGGCACTGAGTGCCACTGAGTGTTGGTAGACCTGCAAATGGACACAGCCTTTTTGTATAAAATTTGGTAGTCTCTAATAAAATTAAAAAATGCAGTGTTTTTCAATTCAGTAATTTTACCCTTATGTAATCCTCTTAGAGAAATACTTGTACGTTTATGAGCACGTACAAGGGTGTACCGTTTGCAACAGAAAAATACTAATTGTTTTTTTTTTATGGTGAATGTTTTATTGTTTTATTTTTGTGTCTTTTTTTATTTAATTGTTGTTTAAGTGCAGTTTTCTGTCTTTTACTCCCATCCCAGCCCACCCCCCCAAGTGCTCCCCACCTCCCTCCCATTTCCATGCCCCTTGGTTGTTGTCCATGTGTCCTTTATACTAGTTCCTGTAAACCCTTCCCCTTTTCCCCTGAAATTTCCTCCCCTCTCCCTTCTGGTCACTGTCTGCCTGATCTCTATTTCAGTGTCTTTGTTTTTATTTTGCTTGCTTGTTTGTTTTGTTGTTTAGCTTCCTGTTAAAGGTGAGATCATATGGTATTTGTCCCTCAACACCTGGCTTATTTCATTCAGCATAATGCTTTCCGATTCCATCCATGCTGTTGCAAAGGGTAGGAGCTCCTTCTTTCTTTATGCTGCATAGAATCCCATTGTGTATATGTACCATAGTTTTTAGATCCATTCATTTACTGATGGGCGCCTAGGTTGCTTCCAACTCTTGGCTATTGTAAATTGTGCTGCTATAAACACTGGGGTACACATGTTCTTTTGGATTGGTGTTTCAGAGTTCTTAGGATATAATCCTAACAGTGGAATTGCTGGGTTGAAAGGCAGATCCATTTTTAGTTTTCTGAGAAAATTCCATACTGTTTTCCATAGTGGTTGTACCAGTCTGCAATCCAACAATGAACTAGGGACCCCTTTTCTCCACACCCTCTCCAACATTTCTTGTTTGTTGCTTTGTTTATGATGGCCATTTTGATTGGTGTACAGTGGTATCTCATTGTGGTTTTAATTTGCATCTCTCTGATAGCTAACAATATTGAGCATCTTTTCATGTGTCTCTGGATCTTCTGTATGTCCTCCTTGGAGAAATGTCTGTTCAAGTCTTTTGCCCACTTTTTAATTGGGTTATTTGTCTTCTTAGAGTGAAGTTTTGTGAGTTCTTTGTATATTCTGGAGATTAAACCCTTCTCTGAGGTATCATTGGCAAATACGTTTTCCCATATAGTTGGTTCTCTTTCTATTTTAATACTATTTTCTTTAGCCATGCAAAAGTTTTTAATTTGATGAGATTCTGTTTGTTTATTCTTTCCTTTATGTTCCTTGCTCTAGGGGACATATCAGTAAAAATGTTGCTGTGTGGAGATTTTCCTGCCAATGTTCTCCTCTAGGACTTTTAATGGTGTTGTGGCTTATATTTAAGTCTTTTATCCACCTTGAATTTATTTTGGTGGAGGTAAAAGACCTGTATGCAGAAAACTACACAACACTGAAGAAAGAAATCAAGGAAGACACAAATGGAAACATATACCATGTTCATGGATTGGAAGAATTAACAACATCAAAATGTCCATACTACCCAAAGCAATTTGCAGATTCAGTGCAATACCTATTAAAGTACCAATGACGTACTTCACAGACATTGAACAAACACTTCAAAAATTTATATGAAACCATAAATGACCCCAAATAGCAGCTGCAATTTGGAGAAAGAAGAACAAAGTAGGAGGGATCACAATACCTGATATCAAACTGTATTACAAGGCCACTGTAATCAAAACAGCCTGGTAGTGGCATAAAAACAGGCACATAGACCAATGGAACAGAACAGAGAGCCCAGAAATCAACCCAACTCTCTATAGTCAATTAATATTCAACAAAGGGGGCAGCAACATAAAATGGAGTAAAAATAGCCTCTTCAACAAATGGTGTTGGGAGAACTGGGCAGCTACCTGCAAAAAATACTGACTACAGTCACTACGTGTCCATTAATGAGAGCATAGGTACATCCTAGTACATCCTTATATTAGAACAGTAATTAGCAGATTAAAAGATTATCCACATAATACAATAACATGAAAAATCTCCAAGATAAATTAATAGAAAAACAACTCTGTACATAATACATTAAGTCTGATTTCATTCATGTAAAAAGATAAAATCCTAAAATACATCCTGGCTGGTGTAGCTCAGTGGATTGAGTACGGGCCTATGAACCAAAGGATCGCAGTTTGATTCCCAGTCGGGGCACATGCCTGGGTTGCAGGCCAGTTCCCAGCAGGGAACACATGACAAGCAACCACACATTGATGTTTCTCTCCCTCTCTCCTTCCCTTCCCCTCTAAAGATAAATAAATAAAAATCTTAAAAAAAAAGATAAAATCCTAAAATAAACACAACTCTTTATAAGTGCGCACATTGTATGAATATAAATGTACGGAATAAAGTCTGAAAAAAAACACTCTGCTTATAAGAATGATTACCACTGAAGAAATGTTAGAAAATTTACAGGGGAAATAAAGCTATGAAAGGAGAATTTTGCTTGTTCTTACTATTTGAAACTTTTATACCAAGAACCAAAAAAAAAAAGCTGTGATATTTGAGAGAAAGGGGCTATATTTTTTTAAGAATAATTTTGTGAAAACTCAAGAAGCACATTGAGACTATTTCAATATTTTTGGTAGTAAACTAACAGCCAGGAGAAAGCAAAACAAGATATCTAAGAATAAAGAACTTAGATGCCTAGAAAGGAAAAGAGCTTAGTTATCCTAAGTACATAAAGTTAATTTGAAATTAAACACACCTTATGAGGCCTTATTGTCCTCGTTTGAAAATGAGAATATAAAAGTATCAGTTTATGTGGCTTGCTGTGAGCATAACGGCATATAAAACACTGAGCAGAAGTCCCTGACCCACAGCAGCAATGCAATGAAGGCCCGACACAAGTTCATCATAAAATACATACTGTCCTTCTAGAATGTGGTCTTCCTTCCGGCAAAAGCCAGGTGTGGTCAGGCAAAGAAGACGAAGAAGAACTTGTGGAAAAGACTGGGAATGTAGTAAAGCTTACACATAAATGAACAAATTTCTTTAAAATTTAATGCCAGGCCTAAGAGGAAAGAGCCTGAGTAGACCACTTTGAGAGGAGAATGGCTAAGATCTAGAACAATAATGAAGGTGAGCACGGGCTTGTGGCAATAGGTGTGGGTAACGGGTGTGATAAAGCCAGAGATCAGCAGGTAAACTAGAGGTTAATAAAGGGAGAATGTTAATTTCAGTGCCAATAACTTTGTCAATGAAGGACGTTGGAGAATTCCATTTATTATTAAAGTGAGCTCAACTGAATAAATACTTCTGCAAGGCAGTGCCAAAATGTGAAAGCTTATAAAGACAGAGCCAAGTGGAAACCGGATCCATTCTTTAAAGTAAATAAATGACCCAATAACCATAACAGAAGTGGTAGAAGGTAGCAAAAATACAAGAATAAACAGCATTTTCCTTGACGTCCAAACAGATGACACCATCAGTTGTGTCCTGGCAAGGAAGCAATGACCAATCCCAGGAAGATATTTCCACAAACAAGACGTCACTAAATGTGACTTCAGCTCCTGTGCCAGAGTTGCCCAAAGCGCGCTGTTTTATTTTTGCAAATCCTGGGTTTATTTAACAAGGCAAAAATCAAAAATTAAACTTACCTTTGGAGTACCACAGTCACACTCTTCCCCGGAGTCCACCAGTTTATTTCCACAGAAGGGAGCACTATAGGCTTCATCAGGCTTTGGAATGTTAAGGAGGCAGTTTCCTCCTTTATTTAAAGTTAACTTCTCAAAGTCCTCTGCACTGCAACTGCTGAAGTTCCTGGAACCTCTGTAACAAACACGAAGAAAAAGAGCTGATGTTACAGCAATTACTCGTTTTGAAAATTTGAAGTCATCCCTCCAACCAGCAAGAAATGAATTGTTTATTTTTATGTAATCTTTATTGTATTAAGAAACAGTTTTAAAAGCAGGAAATAAGCTAACCAAAAGAGAGAAATGAGAATTCTATTTCTAACAAATATAGAACATCATTTCAACTAGTATAAGTAATTACTATCTGGGTTTCACTATAATATACCTCCATGAAAATATCTTCCAAACAATCACTTACCTTGAAATACAAAATCATAAATCTCATCATCAGAAGAGAGCTTAAAAGTGATCTAGTCCAACTCAGGATTAAGTTTTAATTATCTTCCATCGATCTTCAAACATTTGAAGACAGCTACACGTTTCCCCAATCTTTTCCTCACTCCACAGGATAACCCTCACGTGTTTCCCTCACTATCACTTACTAGAATGCACTACAGCCATCAAGAAGCAGAATGCACAGTGCAGAAGTTCAGCTACAGTTGAGGTTCAAAGGCCTTTCAGGATAAATCCTGAGAACACTGGTAAACACTTTGAAAGCTAGATGAGCATCTAGAAACTGTGCAGCCTGAGCTGTCCATGTAAGACTGAAACACATGCAACTTTGATACATTTTACATGTTCAGTGTTAATTATTGTTTTACTCAATAACTATCAAATATTTTCAAATAATCCTACTGGCTGTTTTTACTTTTGAAGACTAGTCGGAAACACACCCACACATATGACGAGAATCTGTGAGAAATCTAAGTCACATGAAAATTTTATCAGGGGAGCCCTGATTGGCGTGGCTCAGGTGGCTGGGTGCTGTTCCACAGAGAAGAGAAGGGCCACCGGTTCCCACTCAGGGCACACGCCCACGTTGCGGGTTCAGTTCCCAACTGGGGCATGTACCAGAGGCAACCAATCCATGTCTCTCTCCTCTTTCTCCCTCCCTTCCCCTCTCTCTAGAAATAAATAAAATCTTTTTAAAATTTTTTATCAGGGGAATTTGGTGCCCTGAAAGAATCCCTTTTTCATCAGTTTGAACAATGATGCCAGAAGTAGCAGTGGGAATAAACACTGTTGCATTATAGTTTTTGAGGAAGCATTCCCATCTTTGCTGAGTCTTTGTACGCACCAGGAATCTAGAAACAGATCCTTTCTGTGAAGAAACTGTGTTCCCTGGGCATACAGTTTACACTCTTCTTTGCTCACTGGCCCGGGATCTCCAGGGAAATAGACAGTCCTGGCTCCAGGCTCTTGGGGAGGAAAAACAGCCTGCCTAGAACACTCTGGTACTGTTAACCACTTTTGACAAAAAGGTCTTTCAATGTGGGATGTTGAAGGATTTTAACAGACTGACTGGCAGAGAAGAAACCTGTACAATCATGTATGACAAAAGAATGAGCAAAGACAGTATTTTGACTAACTAGGTTTTTGACAATAACAAAAACACTTGTTTTCCACATTTTTCTTTTTCCTGCTACTCTGTTTAGAAATATTGTGAGGAATCCTTTTGTACAATGTAATTCATCCAACAAATATTTGCTAAACATCTCTTATGTACAAGCACTCTTCTCTTTTAAAGAATAAAACCGTAAATAAAGCAGACAAAAATCCCCAGCACTGTGAAGGTGACATTCTAGTGAGTGAGACTATAAACTTAATAAGTAAATTTGGTGACATATTAGAAGACAAGTGCCACTGCGGGGAAAGGTGAAGAGGTAAAGGGGGATGACCTATATAGGGGGGGAAGCAACTGCAATTTTATTTATTTTTTTATTTCTTGATTTTAGAGAGGGGAAGGGGAGAGAGACAGGCATTGATTTGTTGTTCCACTTATTGATGCTTTTTCATTGGTTGATTCTTGAATGTGCCCGGACCAGAGATGGAACCCGCAACCTAGGCATATTAGGGACAACACTCTAAGCAACAAGCTACCCGGCCAGGGCATGATTACAATTTTTAAAAGAGCATTCAAGACAGGCATTTCAAGCATTATGACAATTGACTCACAACTGACTACCTGGGGTGGGGAAACATTACAGGGAGAAAGAACAGCAAGAACAAGAACCCTAAGAGTGAGGCCCAACCAGCATGCTCAAGGAAAAACAAAGCAGAGAGTAGGGTTAGAGTGGAATGAGTCAATGAAGGAATGAATAACATACGATACCATCAGCAAAGATCAGAAGAGGCCATTGTAAGAAACTGACTTTCTCCTATGAGGGAAAGAAGGACACTGGGGAGAGGGAGAAGGGAGAGAATGGCACAATGGAAAGGGCTGAGCAGGAGCCACTCGATATCTGAATAGGATCACCATGGTTACTATGCTAACCATGCTGGAAGCTCCTGCAGAAATCCACTGGATGATGATGACAGATCAACATGAAAGCAGGGGAAGCAGAAAGAACTGTTTGGATTATTTATGTTTTAAAGGAATAGCCATAAGAAGAAGAATGTGACAAAACAGAAAAGTCAAGGATGACTCTGAGATTTCCGTGCTAGACGGAAGAAGTTATCATTAACTGACCTGCGGAAGACTGTGGTAGAGCAGCTTTTTGGAGGGACAAATAGGAATTTGAATCTAATAGACATCAAGTGGAAATGTCAAACTAGAGTAATAATTATTTGATAAACAAAGAAGACTTCAATTAAACAGAGGTTTGTAATTATTTTTTCTTATTTTTTTAATTTATTTATTTTTAGAGAGAGGGGAAGGGAAGGAGAAAGAGTGGAATAGAAACATCAATGTGTGGTTGCCTCCCATGTGCCCCCTACTGGGGATCTGGCCTGCAACCCAGGCATGTGGCCTGACTGGGAATGGAACCGGTGACCCTTTGCTTCACAGGCGCGTGCTCAATCCACTGAGCTACACTAGCCAGGGCTGTAATTATTTTTTTACCTCCTATTGCTGACCTTTATGTGGTTAGTACAGTACCTGCCACATAGTACATATTCAATAATATTTTCTTTAAGAATGTATTAATCAGACAATAGCTAGAGGAATTTTGAAGTCATATGTATATTCCTACACTTTTGAGTCCCTAATTTTATTCTACACAAACCCACCACTTTTAAACTAGAGTATAGTAAAACTTCAATATACAAAATAAATACACGAAGCCAATTTTTACTTTATATAAGTAATTAGAAAGTGAATTTTTAAAAGATATTTATAAAAGCATCTAAAAACATACAGTATAGGAACAAAAATAAAAATAAAAATACATACAGTACAGAAATAACACTAGGAAAAGAAATTGTATCTCTACAGGAAAAATAAGTATTTTTTAATAAAAGGAATTAAAGCAGATCATGGACTTGAAGACTCCATACTAAAAAGGTGTTTTCTCTTTTTAAATTAAATTTATTCCTGACTGGGCAAGCTACCTGGTATAAATATAAAAATGTGTTAATTCATCACCAAACTAATCTAGAGATTTAATACAATACCAATCAATCCCCCAATAAGACTTTTTCGTGGAACTTGATAAGGCAATTCTAAAACTACATAGGAAGTCACAAACAGCCAAAAGAGTCTTTTTTTCCAATTTTACTTTACTTTTTTGCCTTTCATTAAACTTACTGGGGTGACGGGGTTAAGAAGATCACATGGGTTTCAGGTGTACATGTCTATGATGCAGGACGAAAACTGCATTGTGTGCTCACCCCACAAAGTCAAACCATCTTTCATCCCCTTGTATTTCACCCTCTTACCCTTTACTGCTCCCCACCCCCTTCCCTCTGGTAACCACCATACTGTTTAAACAAATAGATCAAAATAGGAGAACTTCCTTTGTACACCTACTATAAAGCGGTGCGATTGAGGAAAGTGCATTTTTGATGCAAATACAGACAAACAAATGAAATTGAAGAGCCCAGAAATAGACACATATATTTATGGACACTTGACTCATGACCAAACTGACAATTAAAGGTAATAATCAGGACTTCCGGCCAAGATGGAGGTGTAGGTGGAAACACTGTACCTCCTCACACAACCAAATTTAAGGACACCAAAGTTTTAGTAACAAAAACACAACCAAAACACAGAAAATTGAACTGTACAGAAGTCCAACAACAACGAACCATTCAGCCAGACCAGTAAGAGGGGCAGAGTCAGCAGCTGGTGGAGCAGAGTCAGGCAGGAAAGATCTGCCGGACTGACCCAGGAGCACAGGCAGCAGTTGGCAGATCCCAGGTGTGAGGTGGTGGCAGGCAGACCCAGTGAGGGCGCTAGGCAGCTGGCTGACCACGGTCACAAATTCATGCACAGATAAACCAGGCGAAGGAGCCAGCAGTGAGACAGACCGCACAGGCTAGGGCCCCAGCACCGAGAGTTAAAGCCTGAAAGTACCAACTGGAGAAACGTTTGGGGTCGAGGTGCCAGGAGAAGCTCCCAGGCTCACGGAGAGTTTGTTGGACAGACCCCACAGGGTGCTGGAGGGTGCACAGGCCCACACACCTGGAAGCCAGCACCAGGGGGACCCAGTTTGCTTGCAGGAAGCAGCAAAGGGGATCAACATCCGAGAGAGAGAATGGAACAAACGCCATTGCCCTTCTCTGACCCCACCCCCACATACAGCATCACAACCCAGCAACTGGGTCACCCTGCCCTGGTGAACACCTAAGGCTCCGCCCCTCATATGTAATAGGCGTGACCTGACCAAAACATGGCTCAAGCAGAAAAAAGAGCTCAAACCCCAGAGCCAATACTTTTAAGCAACCAAGAAATAGCCAACCTATCAGATGCATAGTTCAAAACACTGGTGATCAGGATCCTCACAGAACTGGTTGATTTTAATCACAAATTAGAGGAACAAATAAAGGCTAAACTAATTGAGATGACAGGAAATGCGCAGGAAACCAATGGTGATGGAAAGGAAACTGGGACTCAAATCAAGGGAGTGGACCAGAAGGAAGAACAAAATGACCAAACAGAAAACAAGAATTCAAAAAAATGAGGAGAGGCTTAGG